AATCACACCTGTTCCTGCATCTGCAACCACCCACAGACAAACGCATTGCTCTGTTGCAGACGTGCAGGGCTGCTAGCCAATCTAAGGCTAAGTTCACACTAGCTTTGTCAGCAGGCATCAGGCAGGCATTTGGGAAGCGTTTTTAACGCTTCTCAAACGCCTATGAGAAATCTGCACATGGCAGCACACAAGGCGATAGCGTCGCCTTGCATTGCAGCAAAACTGACGCCTCGTGTTGAATAAGGAGGAGTTGAAGCCTCCCATTCAAGTCTATGGTGCTGCTCTGCAAACGCATGGCAGGAATTTGCGGTGCAGTTGCGAGGTGGTTGTGGAGCGTTAATACCATTTAACTTCATTATAGGCATTTGTGGTGCGGCTTTAACGGTTGGCAAACGCCTATCAACCGCCTCAAAACCGCGCATGTGGCATTTGGGAAGCGTTTGAGGAGCGTTTAAAAATGCTTCCCAAATGCCTGTCAAATGCTATAGAGGCATTTTGCAAGAGTTAGAAATAAAGTCAAGTGTGAATGAGCCCTAAAGGGCATCCCCAGCATGTTTTCAGTTGCAAGAAATCGCATGTACAAATGCACCACGTGATTTTCCTACAGCTGCTTTTTAATCCCTTCAAACCGGCGCCTCCCGACCCTTTAAGGGGTTTGTGACGCTGGGTGGCGGGGTTTAGGGTCATGTGACCTCAGTGATTGGCTGTCACAGCGGTCACATGATAGGACAGCTTCTGACCGCAAGTAGTGATTGGGACCTTTCTGTGAGGTGCCAGTAAAAGAGCCGGGAGTGCGCAGGGCACACGCTTTTGGCACATGTTTGTCTACATTGCTATGCAAATATGCGGCCTCTTAGTGTCAAGGCCCAGCTGCCGTGAGGACGCATATTTGAGTACCGTCGGCACAAAGGAGTTTAAAAAAAAGGTGCAAGCCTTTTTTCCTGCAAGAAAACGCAGGCACAGCAGGCCAATCAAATGAATGGGCTACAATGCCTAGGAAAATGTGACCTGCAGAGCCGCATAGATGTGAACCTAGCCTAATACAACACAAAAATGTGACAATTCTTGTGGAATAAGTCGTTTGTTTTATTTAAGAATACACAGTTCTGTCCTTGCTAAACGTTTTGTCTACCTTACAGAAAAATTTTTTAGGCTCCTTTTTCTGCTGTCAGACATTACAGGGTCCAGTTCTGTGCAGGGGCGGAATGATCATTTGGAAACCTGGGCACTGCCCGAGGGCCCAGGGTCAGTAGGGGGCCCCATGAGATGCCCCTGGTACCTTTTTCATAGGCTTTTTTGAGTTTGGGCAAGGACACAGGGGCCCCATGATTCCCTATTGCCCGGGGGCCCCATGAGTTGTCAGTCCGCCCCTGGTTCTGTGTATTGCTCCCCACAGGTCACACATACTGTATACATCACTGATGGGTATGCAAAGTGATCGGGATAGGAAACTACGCCTAAGGCACTCCCCTGTGGATGAACCGGCTTGCACCATCTACATTTATGCTGCAATACATTCATAAGAAACAGGTACAAAAATTCTTCAACATTTGTTTCCTGGTGTGAACAATGAATGATTCATGAATAGAATTAGTGATTATCCTGCAAAGTTAGGAAACACAGAAAAGTTTTTGTATGAACTCATTCGGGAACCAATCGCACTTCCTGGACCGGACAGATTTTTATGATACTCTGGAGGAAGTCTGTGAAAAAGTTTGAACCATGCTTCTGAGAGAAAGAGGAATCCAAACCATGTGTTTATAAAGACACACTTCTATATTGTATATTAAAAGATCAGACAAGTCTCCGAATACAGAATACAGAACACAAATCATTTCACTGCCAGCTGATGAGAAAATCTTTCTATTATTTGATATAATGAACACATGGTGTGATATGAATTATTCTTCATTCTTCAAGTGCACTGAGCAAACAACACGTTTTGAATGATCTTTAATAGAAAACGTAACAGTAAATAAAGGTAGTATAATAATAGTAATAATAATAACTAAGTAATAATAAAAATATAAAAATACTAATAGAGATAATAATATTAGTAAAAATAATTATAATAATAATATAGATGATAATAATAAAAATAATAATATTATAGATAATAATACTAATAATAATAATAGAGACAATATAATATTAGTAATAATAATAATATAAAATAATAATATTAGTAATAATAATAATAATAAATGGATGATAAAATAATAATATAAAGCAATAATAATATAGCTAATAATATTAGTAATTAAAAAATAATAATAATATAATAATAAATAATAATAGTAATAATATAAATAATAATGGTAATAATAATAGAGATAAATATTAGTAATAATATAAAATAATTATAGTAATAAAATATAGACAATAATATTAGTAAATAATAACAACAATAATAATAGTGATGATAATATACTGTCAGCCCTATAGAATTACATTAGGTGATCAGTGACTGCAGAGTCTACCAGGCATCAATCACAAAAATATACAGGTCTATATACAAAGAGGAGTGACCTAAACTCATCACACACATTATACTCTGATTGTACAATCTCCTTAGATTGATCAACAAACATGTAGCCCGAGAGCCTGCCTGAATGGATACAGATGGATTGTATAGATTAGGTAGGTCTTCATATAATATAGTTTTAGTAAATCTAAAGTTGATTGTAGAAAGACCGTACAAACAGGTTGTAATGTACCTAACACTGGACATACACCATACAATCTGATGTTTCAATCTCCTATACTACGTAATATGAGAACACACATACACAATCTATTCAATTACTATCAGATTAGGCAGGCCCTTGCACTGGATAGCTGATGAGAGATCTTACCCTAGGTTCACATCTAAGCGTTTTCCGCAGTGTTTTTGCATCTTGCAGAAATGCAGTACAGTCCAGGGGCGGACTGACAACTCATGGGGCACCCTGGCAATAGGGGATCATGGGGCCCCTCTGTCCTTGCCCAAACTCAAAAAAGCCAATAAAAAAGGTACCAGGGGCATCTCATGGGGCCCCCTACTGACCCCGGGCCCTCGGGCAGTGCCCGAGTTTCCAAATGGTCAGTCCACGCCTGGTACAGTCCATTTTATGGGACACGTTCACATCACGCATTTTCACCTGGTGCGTTTTTTGGAAAGGGTCAGGGACTTTTTTGAACGCAAAAAATTGCGTTTTTGGTTCTACAGACTTCAATGGAAACACTGCAGAAAAGTATGTAGTGCGTTTTTGCTGCGTTTTGCTGCATTTTGCATTTTAAATCTGCCTAGCAACAAGAATAAAAAAAAATGAAAAAACTGCAAAACGCATCAAAAACATGGCAAAAAAGCAGGTGCAAAAACGCAATGCAGAAACGGCTCAAACGCAACCTGCATAGGTGTGAACCTAGCCTTAGACTGGACATATACTATGCAATCTGATTGTACAAGCCCCTTTATGGCAGCCACACGTGCTTCAAATTTATTGTCCAAATGAATGCACAATTTGACCAAAACAAGTGAATCAGCAAAACATACAAATAGGCATTACTTCCCTTCTGATTGATTTAGACTCAGTTTAGGTCGGCCATGAAAGAAAAATATCAATCACGTCGCATGGATCAGCAGCACTGAGATCCTTTTTGGTCAATCAGATTATGAGATTACATGGTGACAACAGAGATGTGATCAATAATTGACAATTGTATCTTCCATTCATCTATCAAAATCCACTTCCCTGTGTGTGTGTCATATCAATCGAATAGGACGTTGACAACAGATGGATCAATCTTATAAAGAGAAATTGATTGGAAAAGAAATCAATCATTTATTGAAGTGTTTATGGTCACCATTCAGGCTCCGTTCACACCTGGGAGTTTTGAATTGCGGGCAAAATCTCTGTGATTCTGCCCGTGATTTCAAAAAGCTCAGCTAAAATGACAAATGACGCGAATTTTAGATGTCGTTCATTTTAATGGCACCTAAAAATGTGGCGCGGTTCAACGATTGTCACACAATAAATCGCACTGCAATAGCGGAAAACCACATTGTGTGAGGCTTGTCGCCAGAAGAGGAGCAGAATCCTCTTTTTGGAGGAAAAACTTTGCATGATGCGGGTTGCCGAGACTGCAGCGTGTTTTATCGAGCGACAATCGCAGCAGAACAGCCCGCGCTTTTAGGTGCCATTAAAATGAATGGCATCTGAAATTCGTGTTGTACGCAGGGGCGGACTGATGGGGCCCCTGGGCAATAGGAAATCATGGGGCCCCTGTATCCTCACCCACACTCAAACCACACCTAAAAAAGCCTATGAAAGGTACTAGGGGCATCTCATGGGGCCCCCTACTGACCCCGGGCCCTTGGGCAGTGCCCGAGTGCCTAAATGGTCAGTCCGCCCCTGGTTGTACGATTTGTCATTTTAGCAGAATCGCCATGGTTCAAAGCGGCCAGATGTGAACGAAGCCTGAATCTCCCATCGACTATGTACGGTAATATCAGCATCTGCCTCATCTGATATGAATTGAATGCACAGACCTGTCTTCATATAACACCGTTTTGGTAAATCATACACGTTACAATCTTTGTACAATCAATTTTAGATCTACCAAAACTATGTAATAAGAGGACCTACTGTACCTGAACTATACAATTACTCTGTATCAAATCAGACAGGTCCTTGCAATACATTGTACAATCAGATTAGAACGTGTGTTGATCCTAAAGGAGATTGTACAATCAGATTGTAATGTGTGTGTCGATCCTTCAAAAGATTGTACAATCAGATTGTGTGATGCTTAGTTGTCTATGGATGTGCAGTGTAAGGTGTGATCTGTGGGTGGGGTGTACAGATCCAGGGCTCAGGTATGATGTGCAGTGACCCCTGGTCCATGGGGGGGGGGGGGGGTGTCAGAATGACATTCTATTCTTGCCCCCCCCTCACCCAGGATGGGCTGCAGCTGGCTATCATGCCCCCCACCTCCTCTCTCTCTCCCCTGGCACTCACCCAGATCCAGCTGCTGTAGTGGCCTGGATGGACAGGATCCTCAGCCTGTTGGCTGTGTCTCTCAGGGCCTGCTGAGTCTGCTGGTCGGGCTTGTGATAATCAGCCATGGAGAAGGCGGCTGGCAGGGATCAGTGAGCAGAGAGCGGACACAGGACAGCTGCTGGAACACCGGGGGGAGTACAGACAGGGGTAATAAAGAAGACGGGACGGGGCGGGGCTCAGGGACAGGGCATGCACGGGGACAGGGGCGGGGCTGAGAGAATGACAGAACACTGACAGATGGGCGGAGAGTGGGAGGAGCTATATGGAGGAAATGACAGGGGGAGTGCAGAGGGCAGAGACAGCGCCCACACCGTACAGGACGTACAGCACACCTACAGAGGTGCACACTGCCAGACGTACTCAGTGCTGATTGGCTGCAATAATCATCCTGGAAGTCATACATTTCCCTATAGAGGGGGAGGGGTGCTGCTCACCAGAATTATTTTATCATACAGAACGATGCACGAAGTGAATGTAAACCTGAAAGATGATCACACACTAGATTTATTCATTTATTTCAGGTACTTATATAGTGCCGTTAATTTACACAGCGCTTTATATATATATTATACATTCACATCAGTCCCTAACCCTCAAGGGGTGTACAATCTAAGGTCCCTAACCTACACTCATACTAGGGACAAGTTAGGAGCCAATTAACCTAGCAGCATGTCTTTGGAGTGTGGGAGGAAACCAGAGTACCTGGAGGAAACCCACGCAGGCACAGGGAGAATATGCAAACTCCAGCCAAAGATCAGGCAGGTGGTGCCGTGGCTGGGTATTAGCCACTGTGCTGCCCACTATACAATCTGATTGTACAATCTTCTTTAGATCTGCCATCGACTATGCAGTACAGGGGTCTGCCTGGTTGGATACAAACTTAACAAGTTAGATGCGTGCTCCTATGACATAACTTTAGTACATAGATGGAGTCTAACTGAACTGAATCCTTAATTAAAGATAGAATCTGTGTCAGTTTAGCCGTTGCTTATTGATGTGACTGGTTTGGTTGCACTTATTTAATTATAAACCCCATCCTCCCCCCCCCCCCTTTTTTTTTTTTTTTCCTCTCTCCTTCCCCTCTTCCCTATATATTTGTCTTTTTTGCTCCCCCCACCCCATTATGATATTACTTTTCATATTCCTCTTCCATTCACGCGCTCTTCTCTTTTCTTTCTCTCTTTCACACCTTTTTCATACTCTAATCATATTTTTCATAAGGTACAGAGTATTCATAGATGTACAGCTGTGACGGTTATCTACAAAACTAACCTACACTTTTCAGATACGGAAACATAGGACATATATGCCTTGAGATGACACTTTTGTCTTACACTTCACAGTCCTGTTATCTGAGATCTCCCTACACAATGGACTAGTGTGCATCATACTTCTCTAAATTACATACTGTTATCATCATTTTTATTGTTATATATTATGCATCTGTCTTATTGTAGGACTTTGTTTCAGGATGATCTACAATTTAATTAAATGTCTTGGTCCCGTCTGCGTTATGGGAGAACATGTAAGAGGACATGCGCAGACTGCAATCCGTATCTGTATATGACTTGTTATGCCTTTCATATTTCAATAAAACCTTTTTTTGGAAAAAAAAAAAAACTTTAGTAAAGCTGCTATAGAAATTGTAAGGTCAGATTGTACAGTGTATGACCAGCTCTGCAATTCTTTTATTTGCCCCGTTTTTGGTCTGTTATAGAAATCATGTAAAGTGTTTTATTATATCCATTCTATAAGTACAAAATGACCTGTTACTCCTGCCAGAAATTCAGTGTCTGTGTTCTCCGTGCGACATTGTTATCAGTCATCACTGTTCCCAGGTACCCTGGGCAGAATAATCATGTCATCCCCTGCAGATTTTGTAAGTTTGCCCACTTATAAAGAAATGAAGGATCTATAAATTTTATCATAGGTGTATTTTAAATGATAGAGACAGAATATCAACCCAAAATCCAGAAAATATAAAAAAATATATAAATTGAGCTGCTGCATCCTAAGGTCCAATGCACGTTGGGTGTTTGCCCACCTCTTCTGAACACCTTTCTCCTGCCAGCACAAAATCAGCGTTAAAAAAAAGTTGGTGTTAAAATACCACATTTAGGAGTTTTTATTTTTCTGCCTCTAAATGCCCCTTAATGTTAGCCTATGCATCCCTGTACACATAAGCACTTACAGACATTTAGACCAGTGTTTTCTCAACCTTTTTTCAGTCAAGGCACACTTTACAATTATGGACAGACCCAAGGCACACCATTCTAAAATGTGAAAAACTATTCTAATAGTTTTATATAATGCAGCAACATCCACACATGTAGGACACCCAACATTAGAGGTGATTTATTCTTCCAAAGCAAATACACTTTTGTACACTGGTACTGACTAGTATTCCAGTGTTTCTCCTCTCCCTCTGTTTTTCTCCATCACTGAGCTAAAGTGACCCCAGTACTGATGGAGAGGAGCAGGGGAGGGTCAAACTAGGATGCTGTGCAGGCAGCTGACATCCTTCTTCTCACATGATGATGTAATTGGTTGTCATTAATTCTTAATGCCCCCCCCCCACTTATCTGCATACCACATGCAGTGCAGCATGAACCCATTCACTTGTACAAATTGTGTTTGGTGCAGCTGTAAAGCACAGCATTGCTGCTATGCCATGTGTACAGCCCTGAGTGGATGCGTGCCCTAGTTTAGGTGAGCGGTCAGTAAAAACAATCTCCTACTTTTACAGCTCTCTTGACCACCCATGTTAACCACTTCCATACATTGCACTTTTACCTCCTTCCTGCCCAGGCCACCTTTCAGCGTTCTCACACTTTGAATAACAATTACTCAGTCACAGTGGCGTTCCGAGGCAGGTGCGGGAGGTGCGGTCCGCACCTGGTGTCACCGACTGCACGGGGTTACACCGGACCCGCTTTCAAAAAGGAAAGTTGTAAAGCAAGCCGACGATCCCCGCAGGATGGATCGGATCCATCCTGCGGGGATTGTTGGCCTTCTTTACAACTTACCTTTTCTTGGAGCGGGTCCGGTGTCACCCCGTATAGGTTGCATGCTGACAATCCTGCGGGGATCGTCGGCATGCAGCCTATACGGGGTGACACTGCACCCGCTCCAAGAAAAGGTAAGTTGTAAAGAAAGCAGACAATCCCCGCAGGATGGATCAGATCTGCAGATTGAGCAGAATGGATCGGAGTCCGATCCATTATGCTCAATCCGCAGATCCGATCCATTCTGCAGAGCTCGTCGGAGGGGGTGTCACCAAGTGTTACCACACCGGGTGACACCAACCCTAGGGACGCCTCTGCTCAGTCATGCAACAACACTGTACACAAACTAAATTTGTATAATTTTTTGAGACAGGTAGAGCTTTCTTTAGGTGGTATTTAATCACCACTGTTTTTTTTTTATGTTTTGTGATATAAGTGAAAAAAAATATAGAAATGTTTGAAAAAAATGCGTATTTCTTAGTTTCTGTTATAAAACTTCTGTTATAAAATTTTGCAAATAATAGTTTTTCTTCATAAGTGTAAGCAAAAATGTATACTTCTACATATCTTTGGTAAAATATAACCCAAATCAGTGTATATATATTTAGTCTGTATGAAAGTTATAGAGTCTACAAGTTATGGTACGTATCATTGAAATCACTGAAATATGGCTGGGGTGACAGGTATACTGATAGACTGCACTGATGGCTTTGGTGACATGTACACTGAGAGGCTGCACTGATGGCTGTGGTGACTTGTACACTGAGAGGCTGCATTGATGGCTACGGTGACATGTTTATTGAAAGGCTGCACTGATGGCTGCAGTGACAGGTACAGTGATAGGCTGCAATGATGGCTGCGGTGACAGGTACACTGAAAGGCTGCACCGATGGGCTGCTGTGACAGGTACACTGATAGACCGCACTGATGGCTGCGGTGACAGATACACTGATAGGCTGCATGATGAGCTGCTGTGACAAGTACACTGATAGGCTGCACTCATGGGACTGCTGTGACAGGTACACTGATAAGCTGCACTAATGGCTGTGGTGACAGGTACACTGATAGGCTGCACTGATGAGCTGCGGTGACAGGTACACTGATAGGCTGCACTGAAAGACTGCGGCGATAGGTACACTGAAAGGCTGCACTGATGGCTGCGGTGACAGGTACAGTGATAGGCAGCAATGATAGCTGCGGTGACAGGTACACTGAAAGGCTGCACTGATGGGCTACTGTGACAGGTACACTGATAGGCTGCACTGATGGCTGCGGTGACAGGTACACTGAAAGGCTGCACTGATGGCTGAGGTGACAGGGACACTGAAAAGCTGCATTGATGGCTGTGTTGACAGGTACACTGAAAAGCTGCGGTGACAAGTACACTGATAGGCTACACTAATAACTGCGGTGACAAGTACAGTGATTAGGGTTGCACTGATGGACTGCTGTGACAGATACACTGAAAAGCTGCATTGATGGCTGCATTGACAGGTACACTGAAAAACTGCGATGACAGTTACACTGATAGGTTACACTGATGACTGTGGTGACAGGTACAGTGATTAAGGCTGCACTGATGGACTGCGGTGACAGGTACACTGAAAGGCTGCACCGATGGGCTGCTGTGACAGGTACACTGATAGACCGCACTGATGGCTGCGGTGACAGATACACTGATAGGCTGCACTGATGAGCTGCTGTGACAAGTACACTGATAGGCTGCACTCATGGACTGCTGTGACAGGTACACTGATAAGCTGCACTAATGGCTGTGGTGACAGGTACACTGATAGGCTGCACTGACGGCTGCGGTGACAGGTACACTGATAGGCTGCACTGAAAGACTGCGGCGATAGGTACACTGATAGGCTGCACTGATGGCTGCGGTGACAGGTACACTGAAACTGCACTGATGGCTGAGGTGACAGGGACACTGAAAAAGCTGCATTGATGGCTGTGTTGACAGGTACACTGAAAAGCTGCGGTGACAAGTACACTGATAGGCTACACTAATGACTGCGGTGACAAGTACAGTGATTAGGGTTGCACTGATGGACTGCTGTGACAGATACACTGAAAATCTGCATTGATGGCTGCATTGACAGGTACACTGAAAAACTGCGATGACAGTTACACTGATAGGTTACACTGATGACTGTGGTGACAGGTACAGTGATTAAGGCTGCACTGATGGACTGCTGTGACAGGTACACTGATAGGCTGCCCTGATGGCTGAGTTCAAGGGACACAGCTCACTACCAATCACTGCTCTGTGTGCCCCAAGGGCACGCAAGGAGCAGTGAGACAGGAAGGACGTCATATGATGTCCACCTAGAGGGATGAAAGACCCAACCAGTCATCATTCTGCTATAGGCTGCATCCAAGTCGCATCCATCCAAAATTGCATCGAAGTGGCACCCATCCGAAGTCACATCAAAGTCAATACTTTCCTATTGGCAAAAAAAATGCATCAAAAACGCGTGTTCAGTAACTGAAAACACACTATAAATTTGCAGAATGCACAATCTGCATAGATGTGAACATAGCCCTATTGTATTCTGATAGTGGAGACTCTTTGGCTGTCAGAATACACTGATTAACAATGTAGCCAATTGGCTGCAGCACTGACTGAACCAAAATTTTCCAACAAGCCTTTAGATTGACTTCTCACAAATGGAAACGGCCATAGATGGATTGAACTGGCTGATTTGCAATCCTTGCGATCCTTCTATGGCCAGCTTTAATCTACATTTTCAAGCAAAACCCTTCAGCAAGTTTTTAGCAGTGGATTTCAGGTGACAACATTTCCAAATGGTTTAACCTCCCTAACGGTATTCCCGAGTGTGGCTCGGGTAAAATGTCAGTACCAAAAGCGGTAACCCCGAGCTACACTCGGGCTTACCATGCGGTGCTGCATAGGGAGTCCCTGCAGAGCTTACCTTGTCCTTCGCTCCGTCCCCGGCCATCTCCTCCGGCTGATGCCGGCATGTGGCTCCTGTGTTCCGGTCCCTGAGACGTCGGGACGTACGGGCGCCGGCGGCGGTGGGAAATTTGAAAATTTTTAAAAAATGTCATTTTTTTCAAAACGATTTTCCATAGTAAAACATTGCTGTTTCAACCCATTTCACATACATTTTGTCCCTAGTGCTCTGTCCTGTCCCCTGTCTGCATTTTGACTGTTCTTTCTGCCTGGAAACTTAGAAAAGTCCATGGCGTCCAAAAAGTGTCCCTTTATGTCAAAAGCGGGTTTAGATCAGCTAGAGAACAGCAATAGTAAATCAGAACCACTTGCAGAATTGAGTGATAATGATTTGTGGGGAAATTCGTCATCAGACACTGAAAGCAATTTTGCGACTTTGCTCAGTGATGTGCGAACTTGGCGCTATATTTCAAATTTCAGTGTTTTTGGTTTGATTATATTATTGAATTAAATGTATTATTATTATATTATTATGTTTTATGATTATTTATTAAATTATAATTTATGATTTTGTGTTTCAAATTTTATCATACCCGGGATGTTTAATAGACTCTTGTTCGGACAGATTTCAGTGAGTTATTCCTAAATATTACAGCCTACAATAAAAAAAAAACTACATATTTCCATGCAAAATAATGGTACCGCTTTCAGCACCAAAAATCTGAAATAATCATACCGCCAGGGAGGTTAAAAAACATATTTGAAGAAACTTGAGATTGATTCCTGAATCCATAAAGTTAACACAACACGCAGCCTCTGTGCTGAAGAATAATCTGCAGAGTCATGCTGGATGGCACAATCCTACAGAAACAAAGGGAGTGAACATGCAAGCATGACAAGGAACTGCTTAGAAATGTTCTATAGACTCCAATAGCAGGACAGCTTTGTCTTTTTTTTGGTCCTTCGCTTCCTGCGGGGGAAAATGAACTGCTGAGTAAAATTGTCTTGCAGGTTTTTAGGGATTATTAACTGACAATGGATCCATCATGAAGAGACAGTAACATAGGTAACGGAAGTGCTATTGCAGATATGAACATTGCAGTGAAAGTATAGAGCATTTCATTCAGTTTTGAATATTGAGAAAGGATTAGAACCCTCTTCTGTTTTTAGGCTCTATTCATACTTATTTGAAGTTGTGACAAAAGCAGTGCCCGACCCCTGCCCTTCTCACCAACTCATGACAAAGGACCAGCCAATCTCACACCATGCTGTCACTTGCGTAACAATGCCACTCTCAGCTGCACCCTGCACAAATAGTTTTCAGCTCGCATGACCACAATCTATGTGCCAGCAGCCCGAGAGCGATTGTCACTGGGCTAATAATTATGCAATTCACCCTTTAAACTCCAAACTGCCACCAGATAGATTTGGGTCTATCAACCATTCACAAGGTTGGCAAGAACAAACGTGAACAATAAACATCTGTAACACACACTGCCACCACAGACAGGCATATTCAGAGGATTATTATATACAGTAGAACTCTTCAAGAGACACGGATTCTTTAGTTTGTATTAAAAGCCTTAGAGATTATTTTAACACTTTTCAAAATAGGGTTTATTAATGAAAAGTTTAAATGGTGCAATTTAAAATATTTACAGAATGGGATATTATGAAGAAATAAAGAGAACAATAATGCAACAGAGAAATAAAAGAAACGAGTTAAAAAGGCAAAGTCCTTGGTTTTAGCAGAGTCCAATTGTCCAAGCAAAAATGTTGCCTTGGCTCTCAAGTCCATTAAGATGTTCCTTGGTTGATGTTAAACGAGAGCTTCCTTACTAGATCAACCGAGAACAACTGACCAATCATCCGGTTTACAGGATGGGTGCTAGGAGGTCACCAAATCTATGACCAAGTCCCAACTACAGTTTCATACTAATATTTATAATGTCCAGTATGTGCAGGTGGTATTCTAGCAACTGGCAGATTAATATTCAGAATTATATTTTGAACCCAGGGATACCAAACACAACGTACTTTGTCACCCAAGAAGCAGGAGACTGCTTTCTCCCCTTTCCTAAGTGCTACCATAGTCATGTATGACCTTGATGTGTTCGATATGATATTCCCTATTCAAATATATACCTAATATTAATGTGCATTGTTCCTGTTGAATGTTATGAATTGTCTGTGAAATTGCTAAATTGTGCAATAGACGTTTTATGGCACGCTCTGCATTCCTAGAGCCTTAATGTCCTTACAGGTCATGTGTGACTGCTTGACTGAGTTATTATTGTTTTACGATAGGGCAGAGGAAAGTGTTTTCCATGGTTAGTGGAAACAGACATCTTGCCAAGACTAATTAGCTGTTTACAGCCTGGCCAGCTCTGTGCTTTAATTAAGATAAGAGGTTCTTTTGAAGTTTGTTAAAAGTTACAGCTGTAAATTCCATAGCTTTCAGGAGAAAGGAGGGGAGAAGGAAGATCATTGCTCATGAAAAACAAAAATGGCTTTCATGTGCAGGTCACATGTCATTACAGCAGTAACTTGCGGTAAACCTTTTTAAATTTTTTTTTTTCTAAAACATGAGAGTACTGCGTCTGCTCTATGTGCAGTGCCTACAATTTTATTCATTTTTACAGATCTTCCCTTGCTTGCTGTCGTTTGTTGAAACTGTGCCATTCATTAGGAACGGCACCCAGATGCATTGCACAGTAGAGTACAATGTACAATGCACAGAATGACACAACGCATGGTGAAAAAAAAAAAATATTACACTAAATAAAATTTTAGTGTATATAGAATTTTAGCACACATACACAGTGGGGTGGATTTACTAAAGGCACTGTGCACTTTGCAAGTGCAGTTGTGCTCGTTTTCCTTAGTAAATGTAACAAAGTTTCACTTTGTAAAGAATACCCAATTAGGTGCAAGAAAAATTACAAAAAAAAGCATTATTGCTTGCACATGATTGGATGATGGAAATCAGAAGAGCTTTAACCACATTAACTAAGCTCTGGGAAAAGTCAATGCAACTGCACTTGCTAAGTGCCCAGTCTGTTTACCTTTAGTAAATCCACCCCAGTATAATCCCCAATTTTTTTTGTTCAAAATTAAAGAGGAGGTTGTTTCAACTAAATATATGCAGCTACACATGTGAAATACTCTACATTCCGCCTGGCCATAGAGAATTTGCTGTTCTCATCTATCTCACAGCCGGTGCTGGCACCATGGTTCACCTCCTTGCTGCACCACTGACTGTTGGCTATTATCACTTGGTTTGCTGCCTACTTTTTACTGGTGATGTTTTGTGCCACTGATGTTCAATAATGTGCTGCCTTCCCTACAGCCAGGCGGAATGTAGTATTTAACATGTGTAGCACCCTCCAATGTAGATAGCTAGGTCAATTTAGTTTGGCTCACAAGGAGCTAAAGTGAGCATGTCTGTGGGGTTTAAGCTCGGGTCAGGATGGAAGGCTCTGCAGGTGAGGGCTCTGTCATCTCCACCTGGTTCTGGAAGTTTCTAGAAACTTCTAGAAGCTTGTGGGCTGGGGTACAGGGCCAGGGATCTGAATATTCATGGGAGTTTGACCAATCCCACGGCCTGAGGCCTGGCAGGGTGGTAAGATGGGCCCATAAATATTGTAGAGCCTGGCCAGAGGGGGTTGTTTCTGGTTGGAGTATGGAGTGCGGAGTTGAGAATCGTGGGGACTGAAGGGGACCCCGGGGCTGGGGGCTCTGCCTCCAGGCAGGAGCTGAGGAAGGAAGGAAAGGAGCAGTTTGACCAGAGGGATCTTCACCACCCTTCGGTCTCATCCAGGAGACACCCTATATTGCAAGGGAGGACCTGTACAGCAGGAGGTCTGAACGGCAATCTTTGCTTATCAGCAGGATTTCCAGGGACAGTATGAGTACCTCTACTTACCACCCCCAGAGCCAAAGGGAAAAGGCAGCTGGATGCAATATTTAGCTAACCTAAAAAAAGGGACAATGCCACAACTTGCCTTAGGTCATGGGTGGGCAACTGTGGCCCTCCAGCTGTTGGTGAACTACAAGTCCCATCATGCCTCTGCCTTGGAGAATCATGCTTGTAACTGTCAGTTTTGCAATGCCTCATGGGACTTGTAGTTCTACAACAGCTGGAGGGCCACAGTTGCCCACCCCTGCCTTAGACCCTTCTTTGCTCTGGGATTCACTCATAGAAGCCAGGTGTGCTGGCTATTCCTACTAAGGGAACATATAGCTTCTGCATACAGTTGGGACTTTGCTATTTCTACTAAGGGGATATAGAGCTCCTGAAAGCAGATACTACACTACTGACTGATCCATTAATGCGATAGTTTGAAAAAAAAAATGTAAATAATAAACATGTTATATTTACCTGCTCTGTGCAATGGTTTTGCACAGAGCAGACCCCATCCTCTTCTTCTGGAGTCCCCCTTCCTGGTGCTCCTGGCCCCTCCTCTTCAGCTGGTGCCGGTGCGGGCTCATTCCGAGCCACCCCTCGTCCACTGGCACAGAGTGGGGGGGCTCGGCCCTACCACCAGCTACCTTGGCACAGAATTTGATTGACAGCAGCGGGTGCCATTGGCTCCCGCTGCTATCAATCTGCCCAGGGAGGAGGGACACAGCAGCGAGAGCTGCTGTACTTGTGCACTTCACTGGCTCGGATCAGGCTTACAGTCAGGTCCATAAATATTGGGACATCGACACAATTCTAACATTTTTGGCTCTATACACCAACACAATGGATTTGAAATGAAACGAATAAGAAATGCTTTAACTGCAGACTGTCAGCTTTAATTTGAGGGTATTTACATGCAAATCAGGTGAACAGTGTAGGAATTACAACAGTTTGCATATGTGCCTCCCACTTGTTAAGGGACCAAAAGTAATGGGGCAGAATAATAATCATAAATCAAACTTTCACTTTTTAATACTTGGTTGCAAATCCTTTGCAGTCAATGACAGCCTGAAGTGTGGAACGCGCATAGACATCACCAGACGCTGGGTTTCATCCCTGGTGATGCTCTGCCAGGCCTCTACTGCAACTGTCTTCAGTTCCTGCTTGTTCTTGGGGCATTTTCCCTTCAGTTTTGTCTTCAGCAAGTGAAATGCATGCTCAATCAGATTCAGGTCAGGTGATGGACTTGGCCATTGCAGAACATTCCACTTCTTTCCCTTAACCTCCTTGGCGGTATGATTCTTTCCGATTTTTGGTGCTGAAAGCGGTACCATTTTTTGCATGGAAATATGTAGTTTTTTTAT